TTTCAAAACAATGAATAAAACTAGTACTGAAATCTGCACTCTGGGTGGCTGTTTTCAAAGCAGCTGTAATCACTTGGCTGCATTGCATGTTGCTCGGTGCTCCTCTGTGAACTTCCTTTGTCCTCACACTGACCATAGCACAGAGGAGAGCTGAGGGGGGTCTCGGACAAGATGGAATTTGGTCCAGCTGTTTTCAAGGGTTACGTTAGAAACTCAAAAGGCCAAAAAAGGGTTGTGAAACCTGCCTTCAAACTCCCATGCTGTGTATATGTCACGTGGTGGGGGTGAGGTTGGTAACGCACGGCAGGCCGATACCAGAGACAGAAGACATATTCGACTTGTCAAATTTCTTCAATTTTTGTGGTTTTTGAGGCTGCAGCAGAATTCAAAGCTCTGTGAGCACAAGTTCATGTTGTCTTGACAAACCCTGACTCCCTATATCAGTGAAGGAAAGTTGTGATTTTTTTTAAATGAGAGTAATTTGATGAAATAAATATTTTTCATTAACTAAATGAAATGAATCAAGATGACATTCCTGTTACTATACACAGGGGTCAAAAATCTGGGAATGAAACATAAGTAATGAACCCATTTGAGGTTGCTTTAGCTTTGCCAATTTGGAAAATTTTGAATTCTTGTAAATTTTGAACTTAGTAAGGAAGCAAGAGAGCACAGCAAAAAAGAAAGAGAGCTGAAAGGGCCTATGGTTGTTGGACAGTGCATTTAAATTTATTGTCCACCAGAGATACCTGTGGGATTTCCTGGGTTCATCCTTGAATTAGTTCTTTTGGAGAAAGTGGAACATTGAATGTCCCATATGGTCCCACGGCCTTGGCAGGTGCTACTGAACCCATGTGAGATCTGTGGCTGTAAATTTCAAGTGACGCCAGTTGGTTCTTCTAAACAGTCATGTTGTCATATTTTTATAAGGCAAATAATATCTTCAATAATAAGTTTATTTAGGGCTGAGGAACTGTCTCAGTCAACAAAGTTTATGCCACCAAATCCATGTTTTAAAAAGCCAGGTGTGGTAGCCAGTGCTTGTAATCCCAGTACTGGTAAGGCAGAGATAGGCTAACCCCACGGCTCACTGGACAACCAGTCTAGCTAATTGGCTATATCCAAGCCAATGAAAAATCCTATCTCAGGAAACCAAAAAGGTGGTGGACATGAATGACAACTGAGAAATGACACACAAAGCTGCCCTCCTGCCTTTACATGCACGTACAATACAT